GTGCGGCCCAGAACATCGTTGTCCCCCGTCCCCCCGCCAAGCGCCGAGCAGAGCGGCTGGCGGGGTAACCAAGGCGAAGAGCAGGATGCAAAGTCGAGATGGCGCCTGCCCCCCGTGGCTCTACCCCAGCCCTTTGGAGCTGGGTCCGGTGGCGGGGACCAGGGACGGGCACGGGGTGGGCAGAGGGGTCCCAGCAACGAAGGAGGATCTGAGCATCCCCTGGGCCAAGGACGGAGCTGGGAGAAGCCCACCGGCCCCAGCAGCAGGTTCAGAAGGGCGGTCACGCAGCAGGTCCCAGCTCTGCCTGGAGGACCCATGAGCTTCTCACCACCTCTGAGCACCGTCTTGACCTCCTGAGGTCCTAGCAGAGACTGTAGCCATGAGGCTCCAGGCTACTGGGTGACAGGGAAGGTCTTGTTTTCCCCAGAAAAGTCTGGAGACCCTTTGGATGTGGGGCAGGAACAAAATTCCAAAACCTCATAGCTACCCGGGAGAGCTGCAACCCCTTTTGCCCTTCCAGCCCTGTGGAGTGAAACCCCAAGTCTCCCCCCGTCGCTGGAGATGGCCTCACGCACCCTCTGTGCCCGGGGAAGGTCCCACTGATAACACATAATGTCATTCTGGTTGCCTCTGCCATCCAATACCATATAATATCACACAATACAATATAATGTAAAAATATATATTATACAACGCAATACAACATAATATAACTCAACTACCGTAAGAGGCGATATTAGAGCCACTTGACCTCACAGCCACTTCGGCAGCTCCTGCAGGTACCTGGCTCCTTTCCCAGAAGGAAACGCAGGGCAGCGCTTCAGCAAGGCTTGGCTTTGCACCCTTTTCAAACTATGGTTTCATTATTTGGAGCAAAGCGAAGTTGGGCCGTCCTGACGCGCTGCAGAGCTGGGGGCCTTCCCGTCTCTCCCCATAATGCACTCTTGGTTTTATGTAGCGAGAATTGCTACCCAAAGACGTGTCTCTCTTCGGTTTTATGCCCCATGGAAAGGTGTGCTCCGAAAGCATCCTTCTGCCCACGTCTGACCCCCAGCGCGACCGGCTGACTGTTCTGCTGTCACCATCTCAGCCTCACGTCAGGCTTCTCCCCGTCCACACCTCCTCCCCAAACAGCTTCCGGGACATCAGAGCCAGCACATTCTCTGTCGTCCCCTGGTTTGGGACAAACGTTTCCCCCTTTGAAGGACAAGGTCACGGGGCAGAGGCTGGGGGAGACAAGGACACCGGCCCCGGGCCCCGGGCGGGACGTGGTGGGCGCGAGGCAGGTCC